ACAGGAGGGATCTGAGGGTGGGCATATATGCCAGCCTACCACCCCATGGGTGGGGAGTATGCCGTCGGATCCTCTGTCCTGGGATCTGTGGTAGCATGTATGGCATTTAATGTTTTAGAAATGTTACAGACTCGCAGGTCTGAGTCTATAGAGGGCATCAAATTACTCAGGATGAGACAAAAAAGAAATTCTCCAGAAGTGGGAAATGATGCCTTAGGGACTAAACCCCATTTTAATTTTAATTTATGTACAGAAAACGTAGAAATTCCTGAAATTCTGAACTAATGAAAACAAGCCTTCTCCTCCCCCTCCCCTTTCTGTTGGCTCTGGGTAGGGTTTGCAAGCGCGCCCCCCCCGGTCTTCCCTCTGCCCTACGTTCCACCTTCTCCTTTCTGACAGAATTGGGGGCAACCCAGTTTCTCCTTCTCCCTCTCCCCAGGGTTTCTGGGTTGAAGTAATTTTCTCCACATATTACCCATACCATCCCCATCTCCCCAAATTTCAATACTACTGAAAACAAAACCACAGCAAATTCTGCAGCATTTTGTAGTCCTTCGTTTCAAATACACCGAATGCTTTCTGCAAAAGTGTTTATTATACGCAGTGTTTCAGAACACCCCTCCCCAGGTTCGACTAGATTGAACTCCCAGACCATATTGCTTGGACCTTTTAATATGTACACTTTGTCATGGAAACATTAAAGGCAAAAGTTTCTTCATTGGAGAGGATTACATAGACACAACAGATTAGCATTCTGATCCACAAATTTCTCCAACTGGAATTCTTAAATTTTGTCATGAGCAGAACCCTATTAATACAAGAAAATAATTATCTGCTGGATAGTAGCCAATGACATGCTTACATCCAATGGGAATTCAGTGGGAATAACAGTGTACTATTAAACAGAGTTACAGCCTTCTAAATACTTTGAAGTCAATGAGCCTGGAACTATGCAACTCTTTTTAAGATAGCACTGTAAGCCACTTTAACAGTACATCAGGTAAAAGATGTAGGGAAGTTGTCATTACAGGGTTAAATTTAGTACTCCCAATTATTGTGGGCTGCAGGCAGCCTCCCCTTATACTTGTTTCTTGTTACTTTTAGTTTCAATTCTGTATTCTGCAACACCTTCTTCATCCTGTAGTAAACATAAATTAAAAAGCATGGCTTATACTTACAGGGCCCCTATTAAAACAGAGATTGTTTACTGCACTGTGCATATGGCACCTGATGTAAACTACTGCTGATACAAGTGCTTGTATCAGTTTGATGTAGTGGTTAAGTGCATGGACTCTAATTTGAGAGAACTGGGTTTGATTCCCCAGTCCTCCAGTTGCACCTGCTGGATGACCTTGGGCAAGCCATAGTTCTGGCACAGCTGTTCTGGAAAAAGAGCAGTTTCTGTCAGAGCTCTCCCAGCCCCACCTACCTCACAGGGTGTCTGTTGTGGGGAGGGGAAAGGAAAGGAGTTTGTAAGCTACTCTGAGACTCCCTTGGGTAGTGAAGGGTGGGGTATAAATCCAATCTCTTCTCTTCTTCTCTTCTTCTTCTTGTACCTTTAGCAGGAACTTAAAGTGCTCCACTTCCTGCTCCCACCTGTTATAGATAGTCTAGTCACCAGTAGTCAAATCTAGCTTTATTTCTATGTGTGCCTGACTGATTCCAAGCCCTACTTGGGAGCTCAGTCCCAAATTCATGTCCCCTTTGAATTCACAAGTTAAGGACTCTCTAGTCTTGGAGACACAGTTTTGAATCTTGCTTGTCCTTGTGCCAAATGTTACCTGACTGCCTTACACAAAATAGAGAAATTATGTCTGAAACATTGCACTGATAGAAGCCAAAGCTGGTTGTATATCATGAAGGTTGAATCAATGTAGATAAACTGAAACCAATCCAGCCAATATTAAACATTTTAAAGCTTATTAATTTTAACGAGAGAAAGAGAGCTAAGCAACGGGACTCTCCCAGTGTAAAATGTAATTTAAAAATGCTTCACTTTGGCTCATTTGTGCTCTATTTCTTCTGTGATCCTAACAGCTACATTCTTCAGAATAGAAAGAAGGAACTCAAACATTAAGCTATATTTAAGAATTTTAGGGATTCATAGTCATTAACCTATGCTTGGCATAGTATAGCTGACAGTATTAGTGGGAGCTGTTTTTAGATAATTCAGGATTATCTCAAAAATTCCCATCACCAACAAACTTTTCAATGAAAATCAAACAGAAAGAAGAAAAAACTTTTACAGTTATCTTGGTACACAAATAAATTTATGATATCCTGTGTATTGTAGGCTCCTCAAGAAATTACAGTGGAATCTTTGTTTCTTTACCTAATGGAGGACCTGGTGTGGTGTGATAGAAAAAGGGTCATATCCTTTGTGGTATACCACATTCAGTTAATATGACAGGCTTTGTGATCCTGTGAGTTTTCGCTGAAAGTCGGACAAAATGTTTGCTTCCCCACTCCTTTCTTTTTTTCCAAATTTTCACACACTGAAAAAGAATTATGGATTTCCGTTTAAGGGGACTGCATGGACTGATAACATAAAATCTATGGCAGAAAACAATTTGTTTTTTCCACCCTGTAGGTCATAATTTTAAGAGAGAAAGTGTAATAAATTTTGGTGGGAAAAATAACCAAACCATTTTCGCCATTTCTAATGACTGGCTTGTATAAACACTACTGAGAAATGGGGGTGAGAACAATTTGACCAAGGGCATGATTATTTTTCTTGCATCAAAGCCTAAGTATCTGTCAAGTCTTTTAAAACTGTGTGAAGCTTATTCATGGGAGGAAGCAGACTCATACAAAAAGAAACTTTTGGGAAAGTCTTCAGATCTCTCATAGAAGTCCTATGTGCTACTAGAAATAAATGAAAACATTGATTATATACCATTCATTATTCACTTCAACTAAACTTTCCTTGCATATCATAGTCCATAAACAGTGTCAGACTCACATTCCTCTGAATACCAAGGCAAGCCCAATTCTAGAATTAAAACTTCCTTAGTATTAGGATACATTTACTATATTGCTTTTCTCCCACTTCCTTTCTTCCTTTTGATTGTTACCTCTAATTATAAAAAATAAATGTTTATTCATATAATGTTCTTCATTTCTATCGATGTTATGTACCTGTGCTCCTAAACAGTTCTGTATGCCTAAGAGTGAAAACTATCACTGGAAGATGAGAGGGAGGGAAAGGTTTCAGGCTATAACCAGAGAACCTGGCTATAAAACCATACGCACCTGCAATGCCTTTCCTCCCTAGGAAATACAGCAAGACTGAGTTTCAGCAATAAATATGATTACTTCAGAAGCTCGTACTCTTCCTTCCTATATCTATTTTCATGCTTGAAATCTCTAGTTCTAACTGGCAAGTGGTTGCTAGTGACTAAACTCAGCTCAAATGCCACATGCTGCTAATTCAAAAGGTTTCCTAACAACCAACTGTCTACAGCTCTGTGTATGTGGACCTGAGTCCCACTTCTGCAGCTGTCAGAGAAGCACTTGTCTTGCAACACAAACGTTTAGAGAAGAAAACGTATCTGTAGAACACATATGGGATATTTATGATGCAAGCATGACACTCATGCATGTAATTTGAAACCACAAAAAAGCAAGACTTACTTTTACTCAGTAAAATGTGAAAAGGTGAGAAAATATTTCCATATAGATCCTATGAGTACAATGCACCAGGACCCCAAGCCCAACTGAATGAGATAAAGCACATTTGTTTTCCCCAACCTTTCAGTGGTTCTTGAACAGGAGAGTCGTCTTGTCATTTGATAGTAATTTGTACAATTTTGTGTGTGTGTGTGTGTGTGTTAGAACAGAGGTTAATGATAACCATAAAAATTCAGAGGAAGGGTGATACATAATTTTCTACAATAAAAAACTACCATACTTTTTTTTTATGCCAACAGCAAAGTAAGGCCCTGATGCAACCTTTTTCTAAGTCTGTTTTTTACATGGCTCCTTACTTAAAGCTCGGCTTTTCTGTCAGAGTTCAGTTACTGGCTGGCAGGCTGTACTCAGTCATCAACCTACAGTGCTACAGGGGTCATTCTTTATTGCATTACAAATGAATAAAATTTCCTCAATAAGTCTTCCTGTCCTGTAGATAAAAGAGCAAATAAACATTTGGATGGGCAAGAGAAAAAAAGGCAAGTTAACTACATCCAGGAAGGCCCTTGTTATTCTACTAATATTGCTTCCTTTGCTTGTTAGTAACATAAAGGAAATGAGTCGGGAGAGACTTAGCAGCTTCTTGCTTGATCATCAGTCTTGCTGCTAAAGAGTGTTTTTTTAAAACAAAGAAATAAAAATTAAAAAATGGTGTCTGACTCACACAAATCCTAGTGACTAAACTCAGCTCAAATGTCATCCAGTGCCGGTAAAACATTGCTTCAAACTTTCAGAATGGCAGCAAAGCTTCAATCACATTCTTCTGCTGTACATTCACTCTGTTTGCAGCCCAATAGGAAGCAAAGCATCCCCGTAGCTTGTTGGGGCAAAGTGACTTAAGAGACCCTTCCTAATTCCACAGCTTGCTTATTAATCGGAATGAATGGTGGCCCATAGGACACTTCTGAGGCAGTGGAGCTCAAAGATTGGAAATATTTCTCTCCCCCACCCCTCCACTGCCCTGTCCTACCACAGCCAGCATGAAATGGATAAGAATGCACTGTGTAATTTTGCATTCATTGTAAGGTAAACAGTATGTCCATCCCCACACTTGAAATGTTTTTGCAGGAGAATTATTTTACTTCCTTATCTGTTATGAAGTATCCAGCTTCATAAACCCCAGTGTATTTCTTACATTATTTGACACTTGCTAATAAGCCTGCCTCATGACTAAAACATTTACTCCAAGAGCTGCTAGGATGACAGAGCAGAGTTATGACACAGTAGTATGTTAATAAAGCCACCTTTTGCTTGCTGGCTTAACCCCTCCCCCCTCTAAGGACATTTCTCAAGATGAGTGCTGCAGATCACAAGAGTACAAAACAGAATCCACAGCAAGAAATCCATCCAGTTGGCTTCTTTATTGTCACTTACAACTTTCTTGGAAGTAAGTTCTGACCTTTTTCAAAAATGGTCCCTGTGAGTGAATCTCACAGCAGCTTGATAGGATGCATGTTTATCCAGAAGGAAGCCCCACTGATTTTGATGGGTCCTACTCCCAGGAAAGCATGCATACTAGTTCAGCCTTAAGCTTCTTTAATTATTGGTGTTGAAAGGTGAATGGGACAGCAGCATGTCCCATTGGCTTGACACTGGAGCTTGTGATTCATTTAACAGGAGCCTCAGATAGCTGCAGCTCCAAATCAATGACCCTGCCAGCACAGCTAAATACTCCTTCAGTAGTTTGTGCCTCTGCTGTTGTATGCAATTTATACGATTTGTAACAGTCACGTTTTAAAAAGCAGAAACTGACAAACATGTGTAGGTGACTTTAGCAACTAAAATGAATCCTCAGTGCAATTACTCTACAGGACCAAGCTATTAATGTCATCCATTCACAGTTTGTTAGGATCTGAAAAAATAATTATGGAAAAACATCTGTTATTAAGAGCTTCTTAGAAAGAGCAAACATGCATTTTCCTAAACATGGATGAGTCAAAAGTATATTTAAAAATTCGAGTGGCACTTACCTCTCACGAAGCACTGCTGGTAAGAAGGAAATGACTCAAATATACTGTTTGAAGCCATGGTTTCCTCTTTAAAAACTTTTTTAAAAGGGGTGATCTTTGATTTCTTTTACCCTGGGAAGTGAAAAATCAAGAATGGTCATTGTAACAAACCTCTTCTTTGCCATTGCACTTTGCATGGTTGTTGTTTTTTCTGTACAGCAAAATAAACTAGATAATAAGGTTCTTTTCTCTCAATCAAACACTGCAACTATTTTGTACAAAGAGAGAAAGAGACAGAGAGAGAAATAGCGGATCACTTGTGGTTTGATGATGCTTACCACTCTACGAAACTCTTGTGGTTTGCAGTCAAAATGATTCGCCCTGCCTGCTGACCAATATCCCGGACCCGCTCTTGTGTGACTGCCTCTGTACCCAACTTGTGGTTCTGTGGTTGTTTATGAGGCCCAAAAAGTGTTTCACACAACCAATATTACAAATTTAACTGTTCCCCTTTCCACAGCCTGTCTCAATTGGTTCTTGACAATCACATGATTTCAGTGATGTCAACTTAAAAAAAAAATCTAAGCAATGTACTTCCCACACCACCTGCCTTCCCCTAGATTCAGCAAAGAAACAGTGTACAGAGAGACAGAAAGAGACCGTCTGAGTCACAGCCCTTATTCTACAAATGGTCTTTGCTGATTAAGGACAACTGTGCCTGTGTTGTTGCTTGTGGTTTGTGGAACTACCGATTATTTTCATAGATATTGCATTGCTGCTTATTTAATAGTAATCCAAACCCTGGTATTAGTCTGTTGCTGAAAGAGGATGTATATGGCATCATCTAACATTGGGA